TGTACAAGGCGGGCGGAGTAGACGATGGTGTTGGTGTACGAGACAACATATATGGCGTTGTAAAATATGGTGTATGCAGTGGTGTACATGATTTAATAGGTGATGGTTTTTGTGTACACGGTAGAATACACGATTGCGTTGGTGTACGAAGACGAGGTATACGGCAGAGTAGATGATGGTGTTGGTGTACGAGATAGAATATGAGAATTATAAACGACAATAGCAAGGATGGTAAATAAGATGATAGGGTCTAGGTATATGGTATGAGAATTAAAATTGGCAACGGCGGAGTAGACGATGGTGTTTGATTTTTTATGTATGTACGTACACCGCGTACATCATCTTTCTCTATGGATGTATGTATACCATCTCTATTAATGTATATGTAATTTCGTGAAATGTATGACACTTTGAAATATAATCCATATACACATGCAATAAGCGTGACTAATGACACAAGTTTATGTGATTTAGTGTACATATGGTTATATTGAGTGTATATGATATTCATACGTGCATATTGTTTACTATTCATGTACTCTCAATTATGTATGTACGACGTTCTTATTTGATAGTGTACGTACATAAAGCACATGATATTGTATGTACATTTTTTTATATGACGTAAAGCAGAAACATTGGTGATATAAAACATAAGTGTTAAATGCAACCCAACCAGACAAAAAGTAAGGGTATATCTGAAAGTACACAACCATGTACACCATCATCGTACACCAACACCATCATATACTCCGCTGTGTACACCGTCGTCTTATATCAACACCATCGTCTATTCCATCATGTACACAATCATCGTACATTAACACCATCGCGTATTCTACCGTTTACACCGTCCTTATCTACCATATTTTACAACGCCCCATATTCTGTCTCGTACACCAACACCATTGTCTACTCCGCCGTGTACACTGTCGTCGTACATCAATACCATCATATATTCCACTGTGTACACCGTCATTGTATACTAACACAGCCAAAAAAATATGCGTACACCGCATATGACACTGCTTACGTACACCATACTTAACATGGCCAAAAAAATTTACCTATTCACTCCTCAATAAAATTGTATCTCCACCAACATCATTCTAAACCCTAATTGCCTAATTTTGTATCCTCCTCTTTCCCCCCTTTTCTCCTCTCTCGAATCCTTGATTATTTATTCCACTATGCCTTCCTTCATCTTTGTCGCCATCGTAATCTCTTCCTCCGTACATTTCTCCTTCTATGTCTTCGTTGCAATCTCTTTCTTCTGATGTGTTTTCCTCTTGTGATGTTGCTTTTGAAAAATCATATATGAGTTATTCCTTTTGTATTTGGTAAAGATAAACCACTAATTTAGAGAAAAAAAACATCCAGTAGAAAAGGAAGAAAAATAGGCCGGAATCGAAATGAAAGAGAAAGCTAG